AATTGGGGTAGATTGGGGATCCTAAATCCGAGAGGTAAGACTTCTTCCATAATGGCAGGAACAAATGGGCTTATTCGAGCGGGGAATGTTTCAAAGCGAGCGGTCGTTGGCCTCGAAGCTTTTCGTCGAGGTCTCCTTGAGTTACGGTCATCAATGCCCTCACGGCTCATTTTCTTTTCAGATTGGGAATATCTACTTCCAAATTTATTTCCGATAGAGTCTCTATGGCGAAAGGAGCGCTCGTTATTCCTGTCATATCGTGATTCGTGGCGTGCCACACCCGGCCGAGAAGAAACACTTCTCTCTCGACGGCTATGCGCCGCTCTCTCCCTTGGAGGAGCCCTCTGCCTCACGGGGCGTGGTGACCGGCGGCGAGCTTCTCTTCGAAGGGGGCGGTTCGATGATGGGTTGTGATGAGGCGATTGGTGGCGAGCGTATCTTCGAGGCTCACGATCTGAGGATGCGCTACACTGAGGCGAGTGGTGGTGAGCCTCTTCGAGGAGCTCGTTCAGAGAAATAACTTTGGCTGTCGAGCGATACTCTTTTAAGGCTTGTAATTCCTCTGCAGTCATCTAAATGACCGGCGCTGAAGATCCCGCAAGGTTGGCCGCTCCCGTCGTTCTCTCCCTTCGAGGCGGCTCTATGACTCCAGCGTTACCTTGAAGTGGTTGGTTGAGATCGCCTTGACCACCTTCGTTGGCCGCTCCCGTAGTTCTTTTGGTTCGAGGCGGCTCTAAGACTCTACCGCCTCTTCGGGGCGGCTCTGAGACTCCGTCGCTTCCTCGAGGCGGCTCTAAGACTCCTCCGCTCTTTGAGGCGGCTTTGAGACTCCGTCACTTCCTCGAGGCGGCTCTAAGACTCTTCCGCTCTTCGGGGCGGCTCTGAGACTCCGTCGCTTCCTCGAGGCGGGCGGCTCTAAGACTCTTCCGCTCTTCGGGGCGGCTCTGAAACTTCGTCGCTTCCTCGAGGCGGGCGGTTCTAAGACTCTTTCGCTCTTCGGGGCGGATCTGAGACTCCGT